GACAACAGCCACATATATATATTTAAGTATAGGAATAACAGCAAGACAAAGGAGTACACAAATGTATTTCACCAAAGTGGCAGAGGGTGTCATAAGAAATCAAGAAGAGATGGGACATGGGGGTGGCAGAGAATTGCCCAGAGGGGCTTGGCCTAGAAGAGCACATCAAGCTCAGTTCCATTGTCACCTAGTGATAAGAAAAGTACCCCACTTCCCAACACACTCAAGGGATCAGGACGCCAGTGGAAAGTCAGCAGGGTCTACACATGAGCCCACAGCCCAGAGAGGAATGCTTTCCTGGGATCTAAAACCTGAGAACTGGCTGGTGTGAGTTTGTCAGGAGTATAAAAGCCAGAGGCTCTGGTTCTATTCGGATACCAAGGCCTAGCAGCGTCCTCTTGGGTAACTGGCCAGTTCACTTCTAAGTCATTTAGTGTCCACACTTGCTAAATGCTAAGAGAAAGAAAAATGAACATGTAATACATCCTTCCCTCGAGGAGCTCCTGTTATATGGAAATGAACAGCTCAGGTCATCTGGGTTCCTGCCTCTGCCGCCCACCTAAAGCAGCTGCCACTTACTGAGAGCCTAGAATGTGCCGGACATTTGACAGATGATACTGCATGTCATCCTCACCCCAGCCCTAAAGGATGGGAACCATTATCTGCCTTTTATAAGTAAGTAAACTGAGGCCATAGCCCTTCAATCATAGTCTAAAATGTAAAGACAGAAAGAAAATGGAGGCAGGGGCTCGGCGCCTATAGCTCAACCGGCTAAGGCGCCAGCCACGTACACCTAAGGAGGCGGGTTCGAATCCCCAGCCCGGACCCGCCAAACAACAATGACGGCTGCAACCAAAAAATAGCCAGGCATTGTGGCGGGCGCCTGTGGTCCCAGCTACTTGGGAGGCGGAGGCAGGAGACTCGCTTGAGCCCAGGACTTGGAGGTTGCTGTGAGCTGTAATGCCATGGCACTCTGCCCAGGGGGACAGCTTGAGGCTCTGTCTCAAAAAAAAAAAAAAAAAAAGAAAGAAAATGGAGGCAGGCACCTGTGGCTCAAAGGAAGAGGGTGCTGGCCCCATATACCATAGGTGGCGGGTTCAAACCCAGCCCCGGCCAAAAAAAAAGAATGCACAGAAAATGGGGGTTCTAAAAGGTCAAGTTTTGCCTAGTCACAGGGTCAACAAGTGTCAGTTCCCTGACCAGAGGCCAGGCCTGTGTGATCTGATGACCACTATTCTCCCATTTATGGTATAGTCACTGTGTGGCCTTAAGCACAATTAAAGACACTAGGTTAAATGAACCTTAGAGCCCTCCCTGCTCTGAAACTCTTGATATAATTGGAGGAAAACACCTTGGACAAACAAGTAACATGAGGGTTAGAGGTGACACAGATTTGAGCATTATATGGGAATTTATGGGGGAGGGGGTGCAGGGCAGAGGAGTCCGGTCTGCGTCCAATCTGAGGAGGGGCCCTGGACAGGCCAAGGCTGCCCTGATGTCTGGCTGTCCCAGGGCCATGAGGTTAAATGAAAAGCAGCCTAGACACACAGCATTTGTGTCAGCTCACTCCTAGAGAGGGGCAGAGACGGCTGAGCCCAAACACAGGCTATTTTTGGTGTTGTGTTGTTTGGAGAGCAACCAGGCCAGAAATAGTGCTATGAGTTAGCAGGACCTTGTCCTTCTCCCACCCCCAGTTCTCCCAGTGAAATCACCAAGAATTGGGAGGCCAGGCCCTACATTCCAGGGAGGCTGTGTAACTCCCTTCCCCACAGGAAGGTTCCAAAGCTAAGTATTTGACTGTAAAAGGGACACTGGAAAGTAGAAGGGAAAGAGGGATTGAGTCAGAGGGAGTGGAAAAGAGAGAGTGTGAACATGGGGGAGAGACCCCAAGCAGCAGAGGAGAGGAGATGGGGGATGGACCAGGAGGCAGGAGGCTGATGAAGAAAACCAGAACAGGGAGGCTCTGGGAGAGAAAGGGAAAGTGAAAAAGAAAACAGTTAGTTGAGGGAGAACAAAGAGAAAGTGCAGAGGGCAAGAGGGCAGGCAGGAGGGCAGGGGTCAAGGGGTAGAGGGAAGATGTGGGCGCTGAGGCTCCAGCTGAGCCGGGGGCATGGAGACTGGGCTGGGAGTGGACAGTCATGGAAATTATGACTCTGGTCTTGTCATGCGCACCTGCTGAGGGACAGATGGAGACATCTTTCCCAGTTGGCTAGTACTGGAACTTTCCCCCAGAAATCCACAGTCCTGTAACTCATTCTCTTATCTCTGACCCTCTGGAAATCAGAAATCCACCGATTTCAACAGCAGGGACTTTTCACTCTCTGTCCATTTGACCTTTTACAAAAGAGGCAAGGTTTGAAAGACAGGCCTGGGTCAAGGGAGTCTGTTTGAGGCTTGGGGAAAGGGGAAAGAGACACCCTCATGAGTCAGTTGAGATTCTGATAAGGGTGTTTCAGGAAGGGCTACTGGGAAACAGCACACCCCATGCTGGCAGCCCAAAGGCAGCGGAGCCCTAGTGGACTACGTGCATGGAGAGGAGCAACAAGGAACACTGTCGAGTCTGGATTCCAGAGCAGAGGCAGCCCCAGGTCTTCAGAGTCAAAGGGAAACACCAGTGTGGGGCCCCATTATGGTTTTGCCTCAGTTTCTTTTTTTTTTCTTTTCGAGACAGAGTTTTACTATGTCACCCTGGGTAAAGTGCTGTAGCATCACAGCTCACAGCAACCTCAAACTCTTGGGCTTAAGTGATTCTCTTGCCTCAGCCTCCCAAGTAGCTGGGACTACAAATGCCCACCACAACACCTGGCTATATTTTGGTTGTAGTTGTCATTGTTGTTTGATAGGCCTGGGCTGGGTTCAAACCCGCTAGCTCCAGTGTATGTGGCTGGCGCCCTAGCCACTGAGCTATAGGCACCGAGCCTGCCTCAGTTTCTAATACATGCCCACCATGTGCCTACGAGTTCCCTCCATGTGCCTACAAGTTCCCTCCATGTGCCTACGAGTTCCCTCCAGTATGGGAGGAAACCCATTAGTAAGTCAACCTTCTGTCCCCCAGCCCCCACTCCAACCAGGATGTAACGCTGCTCTCTCCTGCGCTTGAGAGCAGAGTGTCTTTTTTAGAACACTCTGGGACCATCCACCAGGTCCATGAGCAGGGACAGAATTAGTCACTGCCCTCACCAGGCCCAGGCTGTCCACAAAAAACAGCAAGGGCTTTTACAGCTGAAGCCCGGCAGGGTGTGGGACAATGGCCCCTGGGATGACAGATGATGCAGATTCAGGGGCTGGAGAGGTGCCAAGCATGTAGGAAGCCATCTTCAGCTGTGTCTAGACCCACCACTCCTCCAGGCCCTTGGTGTGTAACACTCCCAAATCAGATGTCCAGATCCCTGTGTCCCCCTGAGCCCTAGGGCAGAGGGCAACGCCTTGGGCAAAAGATGGGTTTGGGGTTGGACTTCTGTCTTCTCCATCTGAGGGGTCAGGGGCAGTTGCTTCTTACCACTAACCGCACTCAGGAACTCCAAACCACAAGCAAGAAAAAGAAAAGGACATAAACATGAGGCAGTTCCCAGGAACAGATCTCTAATGTGTCTGTGAGCTGGACTTTCCAACCAAGGTTTCCCCTTTTTCCCTGGTACCCCCACCTCCACCTGACTCCCAGAAGCAGAGAGAAAACAAAGGCCAAAGAGGAAAAACATGGAAAAGCTGTTTTGCTGTGGTTGCCCCTAGTGTCTGTTTACTGAAAAAATCCAAAACAGATATCCTGACACTACCACCCACTTAAACTTCCTGTGACTCGGCTATCAGCCGTCTCCATGGACACACCCGGCTGAACCCCCAAACAGAGCATGATGGTATGTGGACCCCAAGGTCAAGTGTACCATCTCCCCACTGCAGGATCCCTTTGGCACCACCCAGCTAACCCTCCATCCACAACATCCAGGCCCCATGGCCAAGGTGTTTGCCCCTGCCCAAACCCTAAAGGCACTAGTCTGTTCCTATACCCTCACCCACCACTGGCCAATTTCCACCCTCAGTAAAATCCATCGCTCTTCTTCTCCTAATCTCCCTGCCCACAAACCCACTATGAATTGACACTGCTTCTATCCCTCCTCCCGCACTTCCAGCCCCCCAGTGTCTTTGAGGTCTCCCGAGTCACAACAGCAGCTCAAAGAAACGAAACTTACACATTAGGTTCCTAATTCCTCCCCAAGGCTTTACTTTGGTAATCCCTGGTCCCTTTCAGCCACCACCACCCCACCAGCACACCTCAAACCCCAGCCAGACGGGTGTTGACACAAAGAGAGCCCTCAGGGGCACCAAGAGAGTCTGGACATGTGGGGGAGTCAGCTGCACATCATCACAGGCAACCAGGCAGGCACATAGTGGGGATGAGGGAAAGACTGGGAGTCCTCTGCTGGGTCCTAGTCCCAGACAGATAAAACCCAGACAAACACCTGGCACACTGCATGCCCTCTGGCTGCTGGGCAGAGGCCAAGTGGAGGGAGGGGTGTTCTCTCCTGGAGGTTGGCAGGGCAGACGGCACTTGCCTACAAAGTCTGCAGGATCCTTATTCTTTCCCCCAAAGGAAAAGAGGGCAAAAGAAGAAAAGAGTGTCCAAGCTGAGCATTTGGGAAGGTGATCCTGAATACTGGGCATTTTGTGGCCATCCGGCATTGCAGGAGTCAAGCTAGCAGGACACTTAACAAAGAGAGGGACATGGGCAGCAAAATCATAGGAGGCCCTGGGGCCAAGGTAATCAGCGTTTGCTCAATTGTTCCTGATTCCTCTTACACACGTACACACGCGGAGCAGCACGCACACACACGCCTCAGCAAGTCCTGGAGAGGGAGGCGCCAAGGGGGCCCGGCTGGCTGTGCAGACAGACTTTCAGAGCCAGAAAGTGGGTGGGACTGGAACATGAGTTAATCTACTTCCTGTCCACATCTAGTATAAAGGGACGCAGCAGCCCGAGGAAGAGCACAGCTGTATCTGGCTGTTGGGCCAAGAGTGCTGTCAAGAAAGAGAGCCACACCCCCTCTACCAGCTGCCAAATTTCCACAAGCCTCCAGCAGCAGCAGCAACAGCAGCAGGACATACTGCCAATCACAAGGAGCCCTTGGGAACTTCAGGTAGGAGAAAAGCAAACTTCCTCTGCCTCTTACCTTGGGCTTAAAGCAAAGCTCACCCCTCCCCAGAATCTCTTCTATCCATGACCCCCCGGGGACCTACACACTTGAGTCAAGCCTGCCCTGGCAATGACACAAAGAAGCAGTGTCATGTAACCCCCACCAACAAACCCTTCACCCAGAAATAAGGACTCTGTCCCTCTCCAGCAAGATACCCTACTTTCTTTTTTTGAGATAGAGTCTCATTTTATTATTCTCAGTAGAGTGTCATGATGTCATAGCTCCCAGCAACTTTCAACTCTTGGGCTCAAGTGATTCTCTTGCCTCAGCCTCCCAAGTAGCTGGGCGCTACAGGTACCCACCACAATGCCCAGCTATTTTTTTGTTTTTAGAGACAGAGATCTTACTCTAGCTTAGGCTGGTCTCGAACCTGTGAGCTCAAGTGATCTGCTCACCTTGGCCTCCCAGAGTGCTAGGATTACAGGTGTAACCCATCATGCCCAGCCAAGATACCCCATTTTCCCACCCTATGCCTGCTAACTTGATGAAATGGTCATTGGGAAAGCATTATAGGAGGACTTTGATTCATGCAAATCAAAAATGTCATTATAACTTAGTCTTTCAACCCCTGGAGGGGAAGGGAAATGAACTGGAGCTGTTTCCAAGATTCTGACATGGGGAAAATACACTTATAACTCGTGGGCTGACCACTGGGGATACACAGTGTCTCACAGTCTGAGACAGTGGGAAGGGCTCAGAATCTAAATGTATTGTGGTTTCTCAAACATATCACACTCTTATGTTCACCTGACACTGGCAAATAAGGGGATCCTAGCTCATGACAGGGGTCCCATCTGCCCTCCCCACTCACCACTCTTCTAGAACAATTTCCTCATCAGCTATTTTTCCTCTTGCTCTAGGATGCAGATGTCTCAAGTCCTTGCCTGTCTCACCCTGGGCCTGGCTCTAATCTTTGGTGAAGTGTCCACCCTGTACCCTCCCCAGTCCCGGGAGGCCCGACTGGCCACAGACTTTGGGGTGAAGGTGTTTCAGCAGGTGGCACAAGACTCCAAGGACCGCAATGTGATTTTCTCACCCTATGGGGTTGCCTCGGTTCTGGCCATGTTGCAGGTGATGACAGGAGGAGAAACCCGGCAGCAGATCCAAGCAGCAATGGGATTCAATATTGAGGGTGAGAGATGGGGTGGAGAGGGTGGCCTGGTCTTCATAGAACAGTAATGGAACCAACCTGAAGCTGAGGAAAAGTTGACTCCGACTTAGCCAAGTCCACCCATGGACAGCCATGCTATGGGGTCCACCTCATCTTCCTCCCACCACACCCTGTGCCATTTGACCCCTCACCCACTAAGGGGATGCTGGCCTATGGATCTACCACTTGCTAACTATGTAGTCTTAACTCCTCTAAACCTCAGTTTTATCATCTATAAAATGAAGATAATATAAATAATTGCCACAGGCTGGACACAGTACCTCACACCTGTAATACTAGCACTCTGGGAGGCCGAGGTGGGTGGATTGCCCTCAGCTCACAGGTTTGAGACCATCCTGAGCCAGAGCAAGACCCCACCTCTAAAAAAGTAGCCGGGTGCTGTGGCAGGCACCTGTAGTTCCAGCTACTCAGGAAGCTGAGGCAAGAGAATCACTTGAGCCCAAGAGTTTGAGATTGCTGTGCATTATGATGCCACAGCACTCTACCAATGGTGACAAAGTGAAACTCTGTCTCAAAAAAGAAAAAGTACTTGCCACAAAGTGGCTGCTGCAAAGATTAAATAGAATTATGTACATGAAATGCTTAGCACAGCCATTCTCATAAGAAAAAAGTTAGGGGCTCAGTACCTGTAGCTCAATGGCTAGGGTGCCAGTCACATACACCGGAGCTGGCGGGTTCAAATCCAGCCTGGGCCTGCCAAAACAACAATGACAACTACAATCAAAAACTAGCCGGGCATTGTGGCGGGCACCTTTAGTCCCAGCTACCTGGGAGGCTAAGGCAAGAGAATTGCCTAAGCCCAAGAGTTTAAGGTTGTTGTGAACTGTCACACGATGGCACTGTATTCAGGGTGACAGCTTGAGACTCTGTCTCAAAAAAGAAAGAAAAAGAAAGAAGTTAGGGTTCATAACTTAAGGAGAGAGAAAAATATTCCAACCCAAAGAAAGGGTCAAGACCTGAGAGTTTTGAGGAAAAGTAAGAGAGGCAGAGAAGAGATTAAAGTGTGCAATGAAATCTCCTTCCAGAGAGCCCTGGGACAGCAGAAGAGCCCCATCCATCCAGGCAGGGTTGAGCCCCTCATGGAGGAAGTTGCCCTAGCTGGGAGCTCTGGGTCCACCATAGGCCCAATGTATCCTTTCTTCCCTTTCTGGCACAGAGAAAGGTGTGGCCCCTGCCCTCCGGCACCTACACAAACAGCTCCTAGGGCCATGGAACAAGGATGAGATCAGCACAACCGATGCCATCTTTGCCCAGCGGGATCTGAAGCTGGTCCCGGGCTTCATGGCCCACTTCTTCAGGCTCTTCCGAACCACAGTCAAGCAGGTGGATTTCTCAGAGGTGGAGAGAGCCCGATTCATCATCAACGACTGGGTGAAGACACACACAAAAGGTGAGCAGCAGGGGGAAAGAAGCCCATTTGAAGGGCCCAAAGAGAAAGGGAATCTGGAAACAAATTCATACATCTTAAGCTCTCCCTTCTCTTCTCTGTGAACAGAAGGCCAAATGCTTTAAGAACCAAAGCATAATAGCTAGTAGCTTTCATATTCAGGCTTTCTTGTGAGCTCTCAGGCTTCCCTACGAAGTCCTGTGAGATTTAATAACAACAGCTATAAAGATATACACACAGCCCTCAGAACTGCAGTGAGGGGGCAAAGTCAGGGAGATACGTACGTTTCCTGCTCTGACTCTGGATGGATGACAGAACAAGAAAGTGGGATGAGCTGGAAGATGTTCTGAGACTATGAGTAGATGGAACAGGTTGACAGTAGCTAGATGGGTTTATTTAAATCCCCTCTGCCCTCTGACGGGAAACCAGAAGACCCTGAATTGGCAGAAGAGAAGGGAAATGGACCCCTTCAACAGACATCCATTTGAGGACTAGGAGCTAAAGAGAACTATCTAAAAAGCTTTAAAAGTATATCTAATTTCCGGTGGCGGCCGTAGCTCAGTGAGTAGGGCGCCGGCCACATACAGCCAGACTGGCA